TTCGAACTTTTTTTGAAACCCACCACTGATTTGGGGGCAGATGTTAGCATCAATCCCATCAAATGCTTTTATTTCCCTTTCCATCTCTTGTGCATTTCACAGGATCTAGACAAAGAAATCCCATGTTCTTTTAGGCTGCTACATCTTTCATTTTCTCCGAAGAAGCTCCCGGCACCCTTTTCTAATTTGACATTTTCTGTTTATTTTGGGGCTCAGTGAGAGCTGGCTGCTTTTCCACCCCTGCCCTTGGCTTGTTAACGGGGTTTTAGAAGCCAGAGAGGAAACAGCTGGCAACGCAGCGCATGGCTGGCAGGCGCACGGATCCCCCCTGGGGGAATCTGATCTTCTGTTGGTCTCTCGTTTGCTTTCCCTGCCTTTGAGATCAGCTTCCAAAGAGTGGGCTCCAGAAGCACTTAACATGTTAAGTCAGTGTTTCTCAACCTTGGCAACTTGAAGATGCCCGGACTTCAACTCCCAGAATTCCCCAGCCAGCATTCGCTGGCTGGGGAATTCTGGGAGTTGAAGTCCGGACATCTTCAAGTTGCCAAGGTTGAGAAACACTGTGTTATTCTGGGCAGTTCCTCCTTCCTTGGTGGGGTTTTCTCTCCTTACTTTCTCCGTCTCTTTGCAGCTACCTGTTGGAGCACCTCTGTCCGGAGAACTGCCTGAGCATCTACCAGCTCGGCTACTCGCACAACGACCCCGCGCTCTTCCAGGAGGCCAAGAGCCTGGTGCACGCCCACTTCAAGCGCCTCTCCCAGGAGGCGCCCACTTTCCTGGACCTCAACCCCAGCACCTTGGAGAGCATCCTGGCTTCAGACAACCTGCTCGTCTCCTCCGAGCTCCTGGTCTACCGGGCCGCGTGGCGCTGGGTCCAAGCCCAGAGCCCCCTCCGCCTGCCTTTCCTGGCCCGCCTGCTAGCCCAGGTGCGCTTCCCGCTGCTCACCCCGGAAGAGCTGCGCCAGGTGCAAGCCGAGCTCCTGCAACGACCCAAGGAACTGCGCCCGCGCTGGAGGCGCCTCAACCGGCAGGAGCGCCTGGCTCAGTGCGGGGGTCTCCGGCGGGGCATGTTTAACACCTGCATTGTCTGCGTGGACCTTTTCAACCTGGAAGGCCCCGAGCTGCGGACCAAGGATTTCCAGGTGGGCTGCTACGACCCCCAAGCCGGCCTTTGGGAGAAGCTGCCGTTGCTGGAGAGACTCTACTGCGCGCGATGCGTGGCGCTGCGCGACCGGCTTTTCGTCACGGGCGGCGTCCACACGGACGACACCTACTCCAACACGCTGCACGAGTACAGCCCCCTGCGCGGCCGCTGGAGCCGGCTGGAGCCCATGTCGGTGGCGCGGGCCTCCCACGGCTTCCTCGCGTGGGGAGGCCGCCTCTTCGCGCTGGGCGGCTGGCGCAACTTCGAGGACTACCTCGACTCCGGGGAGAGCTACGACCTGGGCGAGCGGCGCTGGGCGCGCATCGCCCGCTTGCCGCTGCCTCTCAGCCACTTCGCGGCGGCCGCGCTGCGTGGGCGGCTCTACCTGGTGGGGGGCGCGACGGAGTCGGTGGGCACGTGGTACGCATCGCGCAAGGTCCTGATCTACCAGGTGGGCGCCGACCAGTGGACTCAAGCCTTCCTCAGCAGCGGCGGCTACTGGGCGGGTGCCGTGGCCATGAACGAGGGCATCTACGTGGTGGGGGGCTACTTCCGCGGACGCGCGCGGCACCACCAGCCCACGCGGGACCGGCGGCCTGAGCCGGATGGCTTGCGCTGCACCCGGCGCTGCTTCTTCCTGGGCGCCGACGGGCGCGTGGACCGCCGCGTGACGGTGCCCTCTTTGCCCGTGGAACTGGCCGGAGCGGGCGTGGTGCGCTGGAAGCAGCGGATCTACGTGCTGGGCGGCGAGAACGTGGCGCTGGGGCGGCGGGCGGTGGGCGACAACGAGGAGGAGTATTACAACACCGTCTACTACTGGGAGCAGGGCGCCCCCCGCTGGGTCCGCTGCCAGGAGCGGCTGCCCTTTGCCAACTGGGGAGTCAGCGGCTTCGGCTGCGCCGCCGTTAAGCTGCCCAAGAAGCCAATCCTGGAGTTGTTCCGCAAGACGACCGTGGCACTTACGGGCCTGGAGGGGCCTGTCTGTTGAATGCCCCCCCCCGGCGCGCCTGGCCCCTCTCTCTTTCTCTCCCGTTGGGCTTCTCTCTCTCGTTCTCCCCCCTCTCTTTTTCTTTCTTTCATGCTTTCGTTCTTTCTCCTCTTTTTCTCCCCTTCCTTCCTTCCTTCCTTCCTTCCTTCCTTCCTTCCTTCCTTCCTTC